GTCTGACAGGCAATTGCTCCAAACAGGGTGTCAGCAACTCACTTGAGCTTTGACTCTTTCCCATGTTTCCTCCCAGCAATTTGCTTTTTCTTTCTATTTGTACATTCCAAGGAGAGAGACTTGGCGATTCTGTGACTCATCCTTTGGTTGTTGGGAGGGGGTGTGGAGAACCCATTTCTGACTCACTATTTTGTAGAAAGTCTTAAAAAGTCATTTTAGTACACCCTTTAGAAAGAGAGAGGGGAAATGTGTTGGATGTATATCAAATATGCTAGAATAATTGGATTACAATTAAAATGTTCCAAAGCAAAAGAAAGAGAAAGGTTAGTCATCCATGCTGGTTGTCTTTCACTGAGATACCACATTAAGCAGGCTTAACATGTTGCCTTTTCTTTTGAAGTCATCAAAGCATTAAAAGCCTGGCTAGAAATAGCATGGTGTGAACAGGATTGTTGTCAAGGTTTTTTTTTCTTTTTTGGTGAGATTTCTTTTCTTTTTTTCTGAGAAAATGGCATAACTTAAAAAAAAACCAAAAAAACCCCCACAGGATTTATTGGGCAAAATTATTCCTAGCATTTTCCAAGGGAAAACTCTAAAGTGGGAAAGTGATAGCAATAGAATAGGACAAGTAATTGAAATTTAAAGTAATATATGTCGTTTTAGCAGCAAACAAACCCTCTCCTCAGAAAAGAAATGTGCAAAATTATGCCAGTGGCTCCCGGTGAAAACTGTTGTCTTCTGACTGAGTCGTTTGAAAATGTGGCATGTTATTGTGATATATTAGGGTAAGGGGAGAGGGGTGAAACAACTGTCTTTGACATGTAGCTCTCTCTTATCATACCAGTAACTCAGGCCAACTCAGCCCTCTAGAAGTTCTCAGACCACAGTTACCATCATTCCTGACCACTGGCCCTACCAACTGTGTCTGATGGGAACTGTCTCCTGGCAACACCTGGAAGATCACAGGTTCTCCACCTCTGACTGAGGTGGTGTTCACATTTGTGACAACCCAAGGTGCATCACAACTGGCCCTCACAACTCACTCCTCTTTGAGTCTCTATATCTTCAGTACAGTTCCTGAAGTACATACCAGCCAACATTCCTCTGAGGAAAATAGGGACACTTTTCAGTCGTCCCGCCACAACTGACCCTCCTCAACCCCCCCCTTTTCGCCCCACCCCCTCACAGAGCATTTCTTATCAGAAGAAGGGCAAGTGCCACCACCATTACAATGGGACACAGCACTAATGCCAGTCACTGTCCTGAAAAAACCTCTTAATCCCTATTCTAATATTTGGTAAGGTAAAAGTAAAGGGACCCCTGACCATTAGGTCCAGTCATGACCGACTCTGGGGTTGTGGCACTCATCTCGCTTTATTGGCCGAGGGAGCCGGCGTACAGCTTCCGGGTCATGTGGCCAGCATGCCTAAGCCGCTTCTGGTGAACCAGAGCGGTGCACAGAAACGCCGTTTACCTTCCCGCCAAAGCGGTACCTATTTATCTACTTGCACTTTGACGTGCTTTCGAACTGCTAGGTTGGCAGGAGCAGGCACCGAGCAACGGGAGTTCACCCTGTCATGGGGATTTGAACCTCCGACCTTCTGATTGGCAAGTCCTAGGCTCTGTGGTTTAACCCACAGCGCCACCCGCATGGTTGCATTTTTTTTACACAAAGAAAAACAAGCACCAAAAATTACATTTAGAAAGACATGGAAACACAAAGCACTTCCTTAAAAAAATAAATAGATAGAGACTCCTTGTGCTTTGCTCCACTCTGCTCCCCATTTCTTCCCTCCCCGGGTGGCCCTGTCCCCTGCCTGTTCCTCAGAGCCAGTGTGTCATGAAGAGCTAAAATTCAGTGGCAGAAGCATCTCCTCCTCCTTGCTCATCAGCCACTATGAGCTGTTCAAGGGAGAAGGCTGCCAGCAGAGGCCATGAAGAGGCCATGGAGAAGCACTGAGATGCTCCCTCACAGTCGCCACTGCTGCTGCCACTTGGACCAAGCACAGCTCATGCTCCTCTCTGAACTCAGCACTGGCAGCACTGGTGGAGGAAAGAGGGACATTCCAGGATCAAATCAGAAGCCAGATTGGCTTCCATAATTTCAGGACTGTCCGTGGAAAATAGGAACACTTGGAGGGTATGGAAGCACACCAAAGTAATTGCAACAGTCCCCCCAGATGTTACTAACCTGCCAGCACATACATGCCAATGTTAGTTGTCCATGACTTGAAAGACAGCTTTTACAGTTTACCCATGAGACAAACTCAAGGTCAGGCCTATCGTTAGGCAGGGTGAAGCAAACACCTCAAGCAGCTGATCTGAAAGAGACAGATGTCCATTGTTTAAATTAGTATTGTGTTTTTACTGGTAGGGAGAGGCACTTCTGTACATTTCCGAGCACAATTCAAAGTGTTGGTGCTGACCTTTAAAGCCCCAAACAGCCTCAGTCCTGTATACCTGAAGGAGCATCTCCACCCCTATCATTCTGCCCGGACACTGAGGTCCAGCACCGAGGGCCTTCTGGCAGTTCTCTCACTGTGAGAAGTGAGGTTACAGGGAACCAGGCAGAGGGCCTTCTCAGTAGTGGCGCCTGCCCTGTGGAACACCCTCCCATCAGATGTCAAAGTGATAAACAACTATTTTACTTTTAAAAGACAACTGAAGGCAGCCCTGTTTAGGGAAGTTTTTAATGTCTGACGCTGTATTGTTTTTAATATTCTGTTGGAAGCTGCCCAGAGTGGCTGGGGAAACCCAGCCAGATGGGTGGGGTATAAATAGTAAATATATTATTATTATTATTATTATTATTATTATTATTATTATTATTGGATATTCTGCTTCAGGCATCAAATAACTTTGACCAGCCTTGGGAACTTAGCAATAGCTGAAGACCACCAAGCTAACTAGGAAAAAGATAGTTACAGGTATCTTACAATGAACTGAATCATTCTCTATATACACATACCTTTTCTTCTTATATCCAAATCTAATACAATATTTTCTCTTCTCAAGTTATTCTATCTCATCGAGTCACTATGAGACTTTTTCTTTGTATAATAAATGTGAATAATAATAGTAGCAGTAGTAAAAATAATTTTTAAGATTCCTAGTCAAAGCACAGACATTGCGAGAGAGCTAGTCACTAGGCAATATTTTATCATGCTGCGGGGCGGAATCAGTCTCTACAGAGACAAGCATACCAGAAATTATGCCATTTTAACCACAGTCATCTTGGTCTGTTAATGCTTTTCTGACAGGCGCAAAGATGACTGAAGATAGCTCTGGGAGCATCTCACTGCTGGCAACACAAATAACAATAATCTGCGGATAATAACTCTAGAAAAAGTGGGGGGTTCTTCATGAAAGTTGCTATGATGTAATGGAGCGAGGAAGTCCTGTGCTTGAAGCTAGACTCACTAGGTGGCCTTGGGAAAGACTCTGGTCGGCTAATTGGGAACACATTCCCTTGGATATAAATCCTACATCTTTCAGACAAAGGCATTCCTTAATTATATTTGATACATTTATGCCTTGTCCTTCTTCCAAGGGGTTCAAAGATGCATGTCATACTTACAACAGCCTTGTTAGGTAGCTTGAACTGAGACATGTCAAGGTGACCACATGTATGTATGTATGTATGTATGTACATAAAAGAAAATGTGTCACAACCCAAGAAATCATCCTTTTTTCCATACTGTAATGTTTTTGCCAATTGAATACAGCCATACCTCTGGTTACAGCCACTTCAGCTTGCGTTTTTTCAGGTTACGCACCCGCCAAAACCTGGAAGTACCAGAACGAGTTACTTCCGGGTTTTGGCGGTCGTACATGCACAGAAGTGTCAAATCGCAACCCGTGTGTGTGCAGACGTGCCGCTGCAGGTTGCAAACGCTGCAGGTTGCAAACGTCCATCCCACACAGATAACGTTCGCAACCCGAGCGTCCACTGTACTGTGTTGTTTGAACACCTCATTCAGTTCCCCTATGCCTGGTTTTCAACCAGTGTGCCATGGGGGTGCCTTAAATGATGCCACGGGCAACAGTGGCCTCTTTTCCTCTTTTCTTTCCTTCCCTCACTCTTCTGATGCCCTCCTGCATCTCTGCCTCCCAAAGGCTTGCACAACTGTTTGTTGCAGCAACCCTGGCTACAAGCTCCCCAGGTGAATGGTGCCTCTGGGGCTGGACAGGGGGTGCTGGTTGCCATGAACTGAGGTGGTCTTGGAGTGAGTAAGCAAGCAAGCAGGTGAGGGAGCTCAGCCAGCCAGTCCACCAACCCTTGCTGTTGGGAATAGACAAACAAATGGGAGGGCAGGCAAGCAGCCAAACACTGTGCTGGCCTTTCTTGTGCTTACTGTGTGTAAGACCTGCCTGGGAGCTGAGTGCCTGGTGCTGAAGGGGAGCCTTTCTGCTATACAGGCCCATCGGCGCCCGCTGCTGCCATTGCTGCCTCCCAAAGTGAGTAAAGGTGACTGGCTCACCTTTGGCCAGTCTCCATTGGGCCACTAAGGTTGGAGGCATTCTCTTCCCAGGTCCCTGTGGGGCAATATGAGGAGACACCTCTCTTTGGGGTGGGGGCAGCTCAGAGATCGGGGCAGCAGCAGGAGCTGCCTCGAGGACTCCCAAGGAGAGAGGAGAGGAGGCTGAGGGAACACTGCTCAAGGGAGTGTGTTCGAAAAAGGGTGAGAGGCTGCCAGCTCTGCAGGCAAGGGTTGACGTAGCTGGGCTCCTGAGCCCCACAAGGGAGCCACAGAATGCGGTCAGTCAAGGGAACCAGGTACTCAAAAAGGTTGGAAACTTCTGCCCTATGCAGTTGGCATGATAAGGCACTTATTAACCTCCCATAAGCCTCTTCAGACATTCGCAGAGAGTAAACATGGGAGGGAGGGATAGGGGGATGAGCTTGCTAGCGCTGATCCCCCCCCCTCCATTATAGTTGTCATCACCATGGGACTGATCGGGGGAGACGGACATTGTTGCTCACCTGGTTTCTCAATGCCATCATTCCTGCTGCCTATCAAAAGAGAGAGGGACACGGCAGTGGGGAGCTCAGCCTGGTGTGTGTGCAGCGGAAGGAGCATCAGATTGGTTCCGCTGCTGTACCCACACTGCGCTGAGCTCTCTGCTGCCTTGTCCCTCTCAGTAACTGGCAGCAATGTGTGTTGTGGGGAAGACAGGTGAGCAACATTGCCCCATTGTCCTGCTGGCCACTACTGTTCATCACCCTTTGTGAGTGGGAAGGTGACTGAAGCAGGGAGCCTCCTGTGCTCATTGAAGCTGCCTGTGTCTGTGTTAGAATTCCGACTTTCCAGAGTTTCTAAAATGTGCAGTGAGGCTTCAGAAATACAGGTTCAACTTATTTTCTTCTGGATGCAACTCAATATTTCCAAATACCTTATATCAGAAGATGTACCTGTCCCAAGTACAGGTCCCTGCTCCTGCCAACCTAGCAGTTTGAAAGCACGTCAAAGTGCAAGTAGATAAATAGGTACCACTCCGGCGGGAAGGTAAATGGCGTTTCTGTGCGCTGCTCTGGTTTGCCAGAAGCGGCTTAGTCATGCTGGCCACATGACCCGGAAGCTGTACGCCGGCTCCCTCGTCCAAAAAAGCGAGATGAGCGCCGCAACCCCAGAGTTGGTCACAACTGTACCTAATGGCCAGGAATCCCTTTACCTTTTTACCTGTCCCAGGTAGCGCCTGCAGAGGGCTATAGTTGATGTGTTATCTGGAAGTTCCATATTCACTGATTTGCAGAAAATTACACCAGGGCAGAATCAAAACTTAGATTTAATAAATACCTCCTTTCCCCCCAATTTAAGCTAACATTTCTCCAAGAAGTATGGGGAAAGCAGTATATCAGATTTTCCTACCTTTTCTGAGCACTTAGCTGACTTTCTGGATGAAACATGCACTTTATCAATACTGATAAATATTGGCCGTGTATAGAAGCTCAGTGTCTATAATGATTTCAATCTGCTCTCTTTTCATTGCCTAAAGATGCCACAAATGAAGCCATTGAGACAAGGAGAGCAGAGTTGTTATGAAAACTGAATGTGCAGTTCATGTAGGATTGTAATGGGAAGAGCACTTCTTCCTCTAATAGTCTGTAGTGTGGAACAGGTACGTGTGCCACTCAGTGGTACCCAGGAAGGTAGACATGACCACACTCATGCCTAGATTCTATTCCTCCTTTCCATTCTCATCAGTCCTCCCTTTACAGCAGGAATGGGGGGAACTGGTGGCCTTCCCAGATGTTGCTAGACAACTCCCACCATCCCTGACCCACGGCCTCAGTGGCTGGTTGGGCACTGATGGAAATTGACATCTAGAGAACCTGAGGCTGCTATATAGAGCACTCAAACTCTATCCCTGATGACAGTACCATAAAGGAGATCTTGGATGTTTAAAATGATCCCCATATATAACTATCAACCCCTTATTTGTGGGTTCCACCACAGCATAGGAGTAGCAGACAACATCTGTTACAATGGTCCTCTGTTTGAGCGAGAGCTCCTTTTGAGCTATTTGAACTCTGTCTAGGATGGTTCAGCTTTCCCACTGGTGATGCACATGTCTCAAATTCCTCCACCTTCGCTGTGGTCCAATCGCCTTTCTACCCAAGGGGAGCCAGTCACTGCTCCCCTTCCAAAGGTAGGGGGGGTCCTTGACCATCAACCACAAAGAGGGTTTGCAACAGCCAAGCATACAAAACATGGTCTGGATTCAGACTAAGTTCATTGAATTTGGTTTCCTTTAAAATCAAGGAGACTTTTTTTAGTCATAACTAAACTGCCACGCTGATTTCAGTGGGCCTACGTTCAACTTACTCTGCATGAAACTCCATGTCTCCAAGCATCAGAAAATTTCCCTCTCCCAGGTAATGAGACTTCTTTATGATGAATGACTATGACATAGAGCCTTAGTCTTGGTGCTTTCATGTATGAACAGGAACAGGAAGTGACTTTACAGGGTTTTGTTAAGGCAGTGGAAACTATAATGCACTCCGCTCATCCAATCTTGAGTAGCTAATAGTTCACAGACAAATTCATAGATGCAGAAAGATTATTGATGTTTCCCCATTTTATACTGCAGCTATTTCATCTTATGATAAATAAGAAATTTCCCCTCTAAATCTCTGAGTCTTAACAACAAAACTGTTCCAAAAACATACAATACAGTGGAAATCCCCTAATGCTTCTAATGACATATTTGATCCAAGTTAGATCATTCTGCACATTACAGAGTTTGGGCCTCTTTCTGGTTTCGACAGCTGCTTATAGGGCATCTAAGACTTAATTGATATAAAAAGAACGGGCGTGCTGGAACGAGCAGAATGAATCACAGCATTTCATCAGTGAGTCTGGTAGAATTGGTTATGCTGAAGTGAAAGTTTTTCTTACATCAGAATGACTTCCAGGCCCTTGGGGGGAGGGAAACGCTTCCATGTAGGAGGAAGAGACATGGTTTCCCAATTATCCCTCTCCCCCCACAACTCCTTATCATGCATTTCTGTGACTCTTTTTACAGCAGCTTTCATTTCTCATGCATCTCAGGATTCAGACAAGCATTCATACTGAAGGGTTGGGCAACCCTTTGGGGCCCCAAGGGCCACATAAAGGGGTGAGTGCATGGTTGGGAACTACATGTCAGAGAGCATGTTTTCAGCCAGCCAAGTTCACTCACATACTTATTAATATGCACACTGAGGTAGACAGGGGAGCAGGGATGCAATCTTTGCTAACTCAGTTGTTCCCCTGTAACAGATTTATGATCTGTGGGGCCCTGTGCACAGCCCTTTGGGGAGGACCTATTTATTCACCTTAATAAACATGACTATGCCGGGGGGCGGGGCGGGAATTGACACAGCTAAATGCATAAGAATGAGATAGTTAACAGCAGCATCTTTCCACTAGTATATTATTAAACAGTATTTTTTTTCTGATTAATGATATACGCATATGTAGAAGCAAAAGGAAAATACTTCTCTTCCTCTAAAAATGAACCTTATTTAAAGGAACAAAATGAATGAAAGTTTGTTAAATATTCATAAAATGTATACGTGTTTTCTTTCACATTCCCTTCACAGAAGGTTGTTACTTGTCATGATTTATAGTGAAGAACCTTCGTTTGCTAACGTTGCTGAACTCCTTAAATGCTCTTGAGATATAGTAGAACGTAAGTAGATTTTTGGCACTTAAATGATCTTTCCCCAGTTGCTTCCAATGGCGGAAGGCAGCTTGGGTGTCCAGTGGCCCACAGACTGGTCAGTGTGAGAAGTTGATATGTACAGCAAGAAGTTGATATGTACAGTTGATAAGTAGTAGAAGGGCATGGGCAGAGGTGATGGAGGTGATGGAGCTAGTGGTGGTGGAGTGCACTCGCTGGAAGCTCAAACCATCGTCTTGAAAGTCATTTAGTGCAGATCATGGTCCATTTAGAGGAAGCGTGGCAGTTTTAGAATGGAGGTACCACTAAGTCCCGTATGAGTCTAGAACTGAAATCTGAAGCTTTAGGGAAAACAAAGGCCTTCCTTAAAGATGCCCATGTAGTCATCTGAAGAAATAAATCGGACAGGATTTGTCACAATGAAGAGTTTGTAAATTTTGGCATAAATAAGGGGTTGGCAGAAGGGGCTAGTGAGGTTGATGGAGCTGGGGCTGGGGTGCAATGGGAAACCACTTTGAGAGGGATATACCACCTTGAAAAGAGCTTTAGCCTTTAGTCCCCCCCCCCCTTCCTCCTCAAATTGTATTCCTGAATTGAACAGCTCTAGCCTAGAAATCATTCCTCGGCTACATGCAACAAGGAAAATCTCCCAATGTATCCATCCAATCCCATCTAATGCAGATAGGCTTATATGGGTCTGAGATTCATATTATATTTTTCTTTCAACATTGTACACTCCGTCATACACTGACAACAATGCTACCAGGATCAAGTGTTTAAAAGCAGCAACAACTCAAAAGAAAGGATCTCAGCCCTTGATCTACATTCAGCAACAGAATGCTAAAAAAAAAACTTCTGAAAATGTGTGTGTGCGTGCGTGTTCCGAAGCATTCGTGCAACCACATGCTAAGCACAGTCTGCATTTACAGTTTTAGTTATATAAATGGTCTTTATTTACAGGGGAAAATATGTTTAGCCTTAGTTTGTCAGTCTGATGGGGCACAAGAAACTAAATTAATGGCAGAGAGGGGGAGGGGAGAAAAATTATGCCTGAGTAGCTTAAAACAGCAGACAAGCTGTTGATCAGAATTCTGGAAGACATGACAAAGATCAAATGTTATCAGGGGGAGGGAACCCCACAAACCGAAGATTTCTTTCCTTTGAGTCATGTCTGTGGCTCTCCTGCATAGGATGATTCAATTAGAGGAACAACTCTATTATTATTCAACCACATAATCACATTATGGGTTGATTACTGGACTATGATCTTGAACACACACATACAGAGCCTTGCTTCCTTCAGTGGTGTTCTCCTAATGCCTGTATTTATAGGGTTGTGTTTTGTCCTTTAGCCACTGCAATGATATTAGAGCAGTGAGTTAGGAAACTTTAGTCTATCATGGGTCAACGCTTTGAAATATCTGGATCCATTAAAGATCAGAAACAGGCCAGTTTCTTGTCCAAAAGTGTAAGAGAGAGGAGAGGAAACACCCTCCAGACAAAGAAGTTGTTTGTATAAACCTATGAGCCCTGGACAAACATAATTACTGAGATATCAATTCTGCAGGGAATGCTATAGACAACTTATGTTTAACCATTGGATTTATAGATCTATAGACTCTGTAGCTGAGCTTCCTGGGACCACTACTTGCATTGATTGCTACTCCCCCATGATTCCACCCCGTGCTACTCTGATTCTTTAAGAGTGGGAGAAACCATAACAAGAGTGATTACTGTAGCCCAGAAGTTACACCTACACTTCTCACATTAGATGGCGACAGTTCCCATTCAGAGGTTGTGATCTAAAGGAAGTGAATGGTACTTCATGCCTCCCACATTAATGGGAGTTAAGTTAGTCACAAGTGTAACTTACGTGGGATTTAAGCCCAGTGAACTGTTCCATTCCGAGTGACTGCCTCAACAGTCTGAGGGTTCTGATCCTACGTTCCAAAGGTACCCTGGACAGCTCCTTTCAGGCTAGAAAGTCTGCAAGGGCA